TTTTAGTCTGCCTTCAAAGGTGTGCGACATTTGTTATAATGACCCTGAAAAAATCCTGAAATTTTGGGGCTCTGTTAACCGCCTCTCTGGAAATGTACCCTCGTCAGTCTCCGCACCCATCATTAGTTTCGCTAATGAAAAAGTTCACACAACCCAACATGCCAGGATGCAGAGTCATCGTGCCTTTATCTACCCTGGAAGTTAAATTGAATACAGGCACAAGGCCCCATCTTCTGCACAGCGAAGTTATACAGCGTGGGTCCAGTGGTGAGAAATGGCAAATCGGTGAAGTTACTCCATCGGAAAAAAGTAAATTTAAATTATTTAACTCGTTTCTATTACTCTAGTAGATTTCCAATTGCATAGTCTCTGGAGAATGCAGACTGCAGGGGGAATAGACTCTGGTTGATCTGCATTTGATCTCGGCTCTGTATTTCAACAGTTGAGGGGTGTACCAACTGAGCGAGGCTCGTTGGTTATATAAGAGATTTGAATTTCTCCACGATAAAAAGAAGGGGGAATAGAGATGCCACAGCCAACATTTCATGGTTGGCACAAGAGGTGCGGTTCACTCACCATCGAGGGATGGTTGGCAAATGTCATAAGTTCTTCAACAGATAAGAGGTCCTCCTTGGTCACTAGATTCGGAAAGAGGCTTTGCATTGCTGCGACGCGTGATGTCCGACCCCACATTTCTCCGCCGGCCACATAAATTGGCGTAAACCGTTTGTATCCGAGAATTACCAAAAAAATGGCCATCTCCTCTGGTGTAAGAGGACACATGCCTTTCTGCCTGTGTCCCTCAGCCACACTCTGCCTGCAGTGGACAAATGCCATGCCACCAATCAAAAACGTAAAGCTGTAAATGATACGAAAGTAACTAAACAATGTAAACATATAATAATAATAAAAAAAAAGAGAGCAAAGCTTACTGAAAAAGAATTCATAAGAACAGGAAAAGCACAAGCGCATTGGATCCGAGAATTGGTAGACAAAGAGCCTTTCAGCCTGCATCCCTCTCTCATTTATTGCAAAGAACAAATCAATGGGAAGTTGGGAACACACTCATGAGCAAAGTCGAAAGCCGAATTACAAAGCCGAGAGTACACCAAGTGAGAACACACTGACTGGCTTCGGATGGTGGATGAAGAAGTTCGGTGTTCGTGAGCGGGCACCGATTTCTGCTTTCGTTTCCCCACGATACCAACTGGACATGTTATCAGAGCTGTGAAGGCATTAAAATGGAATGACACAGAGAAGATAAGCATGGCCCCTGGGTTGGGGCTGTCTCTTATACACATCTAGATGTGTATAAGAGACAGACTGAGAACTGGTCCAAATTTTGTAAAGAATTTCAGTGTTGGCCTTTTGCAATATTCTACGGGACACAGAGAAGATAAGCATGGCCCCTGGGGAAGGAAGATGACACACGTAACTGAGAAATGGTCCAAATTTTGTAAAGAATTTCAGTGTTGGCCTTTTGCAATATTCTACGGGACATAGTTTTTTTTTCATCTCCCCCCCCCCCCCCCCCCCCACCAAAGGAACCTTCTCTGGCCCTTGCCCAGCCGGACGGACTGCCCTGGCAGCCAAGGTGGCCTGTGTGGCCCGGTTGGTAGCCCAGGTTATTACAATCATATTTCTACTATCAGATAAATTGGCCAGGTCTAAAAGGAAGGAGAAGGGCTTTGTTCCCATTACTTTAAGAACTCTGGGCGCCTTTTGTTTTTTTGACAATTTTTTTTTTTTTTTTTTTTTCCCATGCAGGTGGGTTCTCCTTTAGGTGCTTTTCAGACCTGCGCACATAGAATCAAGCAGGTCATACTAAACCGCCTGGCCCACCAAGGACCACCTCTAGCGATGCCTAGGGAAGGGACTGGGACAGCGGGACATACAGGAGGTGGCAGAGGATGAGGGCAAAGAGGAGACGGAGGTCGTGGAGGAGGTAAGGGAGGAGGAGTATGTGGTGGAGGAAGACGGAGAGGATGAGGCGATGTGCCTGCAGTGGGCAACCGCTTGCACGTAAACGCTGGACCGATATATTGCAAGGACCCAGGGCCAAAGCAGCATAGAACAAGTCCTAGGATCATAGCTTTTGGGAGGTAAAACTTCAACAGTGAAAAGTTGCTCCCACAGTCTCTGAATAGTCTGGAACGTCCTTCGATAGATAGGTAGGTGTGGCGTCTAGGGTCGAGTCAAGGCACCCAGGCCTCGAGCAGTCAACACAGGTCCACACTTAGGCACAACCAACACAGATAAGGCAAAGAGTCAAAGATTTCTAAGTAGTGAAACACGGCCACGGATTACATGCCATACAGGTTCCAAAGCTTCCAGGACTAACTGGATCGAGGCACACTACCTTCTTCACCCGAAATTAACACCCGGGCGTTGAATACGAATATAGTGCCCGACGGGCATAATATTAATTTATAACGCCCAGGTGGGTGTAGTATTCGTTTACAACGCCCCTGGGGTTATATTCATTAAATTAGTAGCAACTTCAGTAGGGCCCCAAAATTCAAAATAAATAAATTAATTAATAAATAAATAAATTCGGTAAAAAAAATATGTTGTCTAGAATTGCAATGAAACCAACTTTTGACTGAGGATCACTTCACAATTCGTAATAAATTCGGGAAAAAAAAAGAAAATAAAAAATCGAATCAAAACATGCCGCTTGGAAGTCAACCCCCCCTTCAACCCCCTTTAAAACCCATGTATACCCCCCTTTCCCCCCTTTTAAACCATGTATACTCCCTCTACAAGGCACTCTGTCCATGGCACATTCAAACACAACGACTGGGCGTTCTATTCGGATATAACGCCCGGGCATTATTGAAACGGTATTCACCTGTTCGCAGTAGCCGATGCAGATCCCAGGGCTCGATCCCTAGTCATCACCTTACCTGTGTATAGTATTTGTGTTGACCCCGAGAGTTGAACCCGTGACCTGTGTATTTGTAACAGTTGGTAGGCTGTCGTAGGGTCCGTAGGTTGTAGGGGTTCGATCTGTAGACCTGTCAGGTAGGAGTCTTAGCAAAGTCTAGAAGTCGTAGCTATAGCTTCTCCGAAAGGTCAAGGTCGTAGCTGCTACAGTCCTGAAGGGTCAAGGTCGTAGCTGCTACAGTATCGATAGGCCAAGTCCACGGCCTTCCGGAAGGTCCTAGCAGTGGCCTTTCGAAGTTGCTCACGTTTAGGCTGAGGCAAGTGGGCAAGTGGTGGAGTCTACCCGAGCTGAGTCAGCAGTCCCAGTCCCAGTCAGTCCTAGTCCAGTCAAGCAAGTACCGCATGGGACTGTGTGCACCACGGGCATGGGAAAGGGCCCGACCAACGAACTACAGAAGTATAAATCAAAGGGCAGCGTCCAGCCATTCATTCATTGCTGCGTGAGCCATGCGGAAGCGCTGCCACAGCGACTTGTGCGAGGTGGTCTGCAGTGAGCCCGAAGATGAAGTGGGCGAGAGGAGCTTAGCCATAGCGATAGGTTAGCAGCGGCCATAGCCGCCATAGCTGTAGGTAGAGTGCAGCATGTGTGTGTGTGTGTGTGTGTGTGTGTATGCATGTACAGCGTATCGCGTGTGGGATATCCAAGGTGATCCTTTGTGCGCGAACAGAGACTTGTGTGGGCACTGTGTCGCCATAGCCATTGGAGTGACCTTGTACCTGAACTGCATTCTTGGCTACCATATCTCTGAGTTTCGAGTGGGCGCTTGTCGCCAGTTTGCTGCGCACCTGTTTGCATGCATGCGAAGTGTGATTGAGAGCGAGTCTGATTGCACTATATTCGAAGGGCCGTTATATTAAAAAAAAGGTTGGTAAGAACAAAAATCTGATTTTTTAAAGGGTAAGGTGAACATAACGCCAAGCCGTTATTCTTGGGTGAAGACAGTAGCGCTGTTGCATAAATACCGGTGCTGGCGGAAGGCGGACAGTGTGAGAATGAGAGGGTGACCATATCTTCACATACCGATGAGGTGTTTGTACGACATTCTGGCTTCATCGCTAGTAGGAGGTTGTTTGATGGCTATTGAGGTAGCGAGGAAGAAGAGAGAACACAGGGGTAGAAGGGGTAAGACAAGAACAACAATGTTACAACACCTTATCAATAGATTATTTTTTGAGTTATCCTCCTCCTACTCTTCTCCTTCCTTCGTCTTGACTCTGGTCCATAGTTGCGGCGCACCGATATGGTGCGCTATGCGCTGCAGCACACTGTGCACCGTGTGGCCGCCAGCACAGCTTTCACCAATGAGCTATGCATGCACATCGATGCGGAATGCGCAACGCGCGGTGCGCTCTGCTGCCCGGCAATGTGCAGGGCGCCGTTGCGCCGGATAGTGCGCACATCATGTGCATCGGTGCGCATTGTGCGTGCAGTTTTTTTTTTTTTTTTTTGG